TGCAGCCCTTGTCTTCCCAGTAAAATCATAAGGACTAGCTGCTCACCAAATTAGTCAGTGCCTTCCTCCAAAGGATAGATTGTCCTGCCAAACAGCATCAGTCTTCACAGACATCCAAATACCTAGGTGACCAATTATCAAATGTATGGCAGCAAAGATCAACTCAAGCATTCGCCCAAAACATGAATCCTTAATTCCGGATATTCTCTGACATGCAAACTGGAATTGTTAAAGAGCGAAAAGTCAGCCAAAATAATTCATCCCCACCCCCCAACCCGCTTCGACTATTTGGTCGATAGTGTGAGTGACAAAGCTGTGATTTCATGCTTGGTGATTACTTGAGATCTCCCATTCAAGAGACAAAAGGGGGGATATCAAACTTCTTTAGTTCCTAGTTTCACATCTCTTGTGTCCAAGCTACCAAAGCACTTTCATTCACTGAACTCCTTTCACCTCTAGCCACCAACTTCCATCCATCATGTCGTAGTAAAATGAGATTGATGGTCTCCCTGTAATGGGGGAGGGGGGAAGCACTCATCCATAATGGAAGAGTCCTGTCCCAGGAAGTGAACCTCCAGCACGGCCACAGACACGGCTGAAATACAGCCAAGCCCAACAGGAGCAAAGGAATGTGGGGTGGTTGCAAAGAGGCTGTAGCATTCGGCTATGATCTCAAAGGCGTTGATTTTAAATCTTTCAGGGCCTCACACCAGGCAGAATGTCCTCCAGCCCAGTCAGGTAAGAGGGTGTGTGTTTGTGTGTGGTGTGTCTATGTCTGCCAATGGGGATGGAACCTAATCGACAAGAACGAAAAGCTCAAAAGCAATACAGGAAAAAATACATGCAGTAGCCAAGAGCAACCAGACGCAAAATGTGCTTAAAGTGAAATAAAAACTTAGACCTTCCCACCATCCCAGCACCATGCTGTGAAGGAAGATAGAATTTAAAACATGTGAGCAATGCCTGGTAAAATTCTAAAAGCCAGAGGGTTATCCAAGAATTTCCAGAAGTCCGAACAGTAGGGCTTCAATCACTTGCAAAACACTCACCCCACCCACCCAGTTACTTCCAAAATCTAGAATTAACTGTATTTTAAAGAAATATTATGTAGGTTTGCAGACAGAGAGAGAAGGTTGCACTCTCTGTCTCTCAGAAAGAACACCAGGGCAAGCAGGGAAGGCAACAACCTGGCCTCTTCCATCAACCAGAGAAGGTCAGCTGTCAGAGATAGCATGCCCCTGAATGCCAGTCGCTGAGAACCACAGGTGGGAAGAATGCTATTGAACTCCAGTTGTGCTTATGGATTTCCCACTGGGGCATCAGGTTGGCCATTGTGAGAACAGGATGCTGAACTAGGTGGGCCATTCTCCTGGTCCAGCAGGCTTTTCTTAGCTGCTCCAGTGCTTGCTTTCCTTTTCCCTCCCCATTTGTTTTTCCTTTCGTATCATGTCTATTAGATAATGGGCCTGCCAACAGGGACTGTCTTATATGTACAGCCCTTAGGAAATACCGTATTTTTTGCTCTATAAGACTCACTTTTTCCCTCCTAAAAAGTAAGGGGAAATGTGTGTGCGTCTTATGGAGCGAATGCAGGCTGCGCAGCTATTCCAGAAGCCAGAACAGCAAGAGGGATCGCTGCTTTCACTGTGCAGTGATCCCTCTTGCTGTTCTGGCTTCTGGGATTCAGAATATTTTTTTTCTTGTTTTCCTCCTCCAAAAACTAGGTGCATCTTGTGGTCTGGTGCGTCTTATAGAGCGAAAAATACGGTATTAGGCACTTTATAAGTGTTGAATAATAATCTTTTCCCCCACCCTGGCCAGAATATACAGCCTTCACTATAAAGAACAGTCACAGAAGCCTGCCTTTTGTAGAGCACAAATGAAAAAAGGGGTAAGATTAGGAGACCGCAGCAAGGAATCCTGACTTTGTGCTACCAGAAAGAAAACTATGAATAGATATATTTTTTATTATTATAAAGAAACAGCAGCTTGGTCCTCACTCATCCAAATGTGTTGCATTTAATTAGAAAGCCATCTTTTAAAAAAAACCCCAAAAACTTTTACAAGAAAGCAAGGCTACTATTAATGAAAGAAGAACCAATTAGTCTTTAATCTAAAACTTCAAAAAAATGGAAACTTTTTTTAAAAAAATAAGCGCTTTTGATCATTTTATGCTCCATGAGATTTGGTCTCCCCTCGTCACACACTATTAACTCCAGTTAGCGCCAACAAAAGTGGCTTTACAAGGTCAAGTGAAGGAAGAACGCCCAGTCCTATGAATGGCCACCTTACGATAGACCGCCTCTGCTGGACTTCAGCTGTGCATTTAATTCGTGTGATTTCAACCATAGACAGTCGAAAGCCAGTTGGTTGAAATTCTGCAGGGAAGGAAGAAAGCTGAAAAGCTCTTTCCAGCCGGGGAAAGACTGGCTTTTAAAGTCTGTGTATTGCTAGGGTGACAGGGCCTGCTGAATGCATCAGATTTGGAAGGCTAGGGAAGCTCGTCCAGGGGCAGTTTGGATATATGCATTTTTGTGCGTATACTGAATTCTTGGAACCAAACTGCCATGTAGAGTGGCGGAGGGAGGGAGGGAGGTAGACAGACAGACTGATGATGGAGGAGGAGGAGAGCAGATCTGACTCCAATGGCATCAGAGGAAGTCACTGGTGATGAAAAGCAAACTTTTTTAGTTTCTGGTCCATGGTCTTTCCCAGTTTTGGAGGTGCTGATACAACTTCTTTACAAGGGTGCAAGGGAGCCTAGGTAAGCCTCTGGGCTCAATCCCTGTCTTCTCCAAATTAAAGAGAGCCTCAGAATTGGGGAGGCCTTCAGCTAAGAGCACAGAGAGCTGTCACCACCACCCATAAGAGGAAACATTGGCAGCAAAATCTGCTTTCAGATATACAGGAAATGACTGGTACTTGGTGGGGTGGGGACAGAAGAGATTAAAATGACCTTTCTGGGCATGAACTTGCAGCTGAATTTCCACTGGCAGAGAATAGACTTTGCTCCACCCAGAATAAAGGGTTTTGTTTATCTCATTTTATTGCAGGAATCAACATTGTGTTTACACATCAGAGATGAGGAGCGAAGCAGTTGGCTTTTCAGAATTCCAACCTGTATGACAATGAGATTTTAGAGACTTTGCATCCATTAACCATGAGGGCTAGAATCTTTCCCGTAAAAAATAATACTGACACTTTAAGAACGCGACTTTAAAAAAGCAACAAGACAAAGTCACAGGAGTTGGCAACCCGGAGAATTTAAAATTACTGTGTGCATGTAGTTAGCGATATAATTAGCCACATAACTCAAGCGTGCAACCGCTGTCCGACTGACTTTGCTACATTTAAGCGAACCGTTTCCGGCATGAAACATCCATCATTCCTTATCAGGAAAACAGGCCTGGGAATTGTGGCAGCATAACCAACTATTAATTCTATGAAAAGCAATTTTCAAACTACATTTTAATGTGCTATTTACAGGAGGCTCTCTCTGTAATACTTGCAATTCCCTGGGATGCAAATTTCACACTTGTTATTTCAAGCAGGGCCCAAAAATATTAAAATGAAATCAGTATCTTCCGAGGTAACACAGTGAAATAACCAGGCAGCTCAGCCTTTCCCATTCCAGTGCCCTCCAGATATTTTGGACTTCAAATTCCCATCAGCCCTAGCTAGAACTGTGTGGCTTGTTGTCAGAGAGGATTTATCACCAAAGAACACACACAAATTGTATCAACAGATAGCATCAAAGTGGAGACCTGGAACTTCAAGGAACCACTCACAACTCACCAGCCCATCTGGGGAATAAAGACTCCCCATTTCCATCTCTTTCCCCAATCTGCAAGGGCCAGTGCACACATGCACATTTGCCATTCATGCTTCAGAGGTGACCCACGTAGACCCCAGACCACTTCAATGACAGGGTCATCTACTGGGATGCCTGCCTTCAAAGCCACCATCAGGTCTAGAACTGCAGGCACAACTCTCTGAAGATCTCTTGCAATTCTTGGTTGTCACGCCAAGAGCTTTTAAGCACACTATATGTGAATCTACCCTTTGGCCTGATCCAGTGGCTTCAGCTGGTGCAAAATGCTGTGGTCATAATGCTGGTGGAGAAAGACTAACACTTCACTCCTGTGCTTAAAAGCTTGCACTGGCTGACCATACACTACCAAGCCAGGTTCCAGGCTATTGTATTAATTTACAAGGCCCTCAACAACTTGGATCCAGGATACCTGAAGGACCGCATCACTCCCTTCTATCCCTGCCTGATCACTGTGGTCTTTGGGGAAGTCACTGTCAGTGGTCCCCCATGGTTCAGATGCATGACTCATTCATATCCACCAGGGACCATGTGTTCAGGATTATGAGCTCACTTTTATGGAATTCCCTTCCAGTTGAACAGAAAGGCCTCTCTTCCTGTTGAACTTGAACTGAGTACTTTAAAAAAAAAATTATTTCAGCAGCTATTTTGACTTTTTTATAGTTTAGTATAATTTTATAGTTTAGTATAATCAGTATACTTTTTTATAGTTTTAACTGATTTTTTAAATCTTTACTTCATTGAATTCCTTCTACACAACTTAAAGATTTTTGTAATTAAGCAGTACATACATTGCTGAAATAAATAAAATAAGTAGGTAAGCGGGATATCCTGACTCAGTTTGGGCAGGTCAGCATCCTAGGGAGCTGTCCAGATTCCTGAAAGTACCCTCAGCTGACAAGCTCAGTTTCCTGCTTCCTTCCACTACTCCAGGTGGGTTACCCCAGACCTTGCACTGCAGAAGGAAGAGATGGTGCACAATGCCAGTGTCACTTCCCTGCTGCCCTGTACTGCTGGCCTGCTAGTACTAGCACAAACTCACTGCCTGCGCAGGAATGCAAGTTGTAATTAAAATTTCAATTCACACGTCTGGAAAGTTGGGCAGAACTGTATCAAATAGTCCAGTGCCAACACCACATCCCTACCAACCCAGCAAAACTCATGTACATACGGATGCAGAAGTCTCCGCTCTCGTAATATCCTGGGCAGCACTGCGATCGTCGCCGATACATAGTCCTCAGTCCCCTCCGATATGCTGTCTTATAACTTATTCTAAATTGTGAGATAGAAAGAACACATTGGAAATCAATGCTCACACTCAGAATACTATTTGCACTGTGTTACTGCCTGGAGGGTATGTTCAATAATTACTTTCAAATGTTTTTTGATATATATATTTTGTGTGTGTGTGTGTGTGTGTGTGTGTGTGTGATCAATACAGATTTCGAACTCTACAGTTCAATTCATACTCTAAAACAATTTTCTCTGTGTGTCTCTCTCTGTGGAAATAAGAATGTCAAAATCCATTGCCTGTCTCTAAAAAGGAAAAGGAGTGAAATTTGGTTCCTGTCTACATTTTAATGTGAACTTGTCTGCTTTGCACTTCCTGCTTTGCACTTCCTGAACCCATCTGTGAACCGAAGTGCAACTCATATTTGAACTTCAAATTAAATATATTGCTGCTACAATGCAGAAAGCTAGTCTGTTTTATATCACAGATAATCTGTGAATATATGCTCATCGTTTGATGACTGCAATTATCAAGTGATGGCTTCCATTTGAACAGACATTCTTGCTGTAGCATCTCAAAGCACCAAGTTTTTCACTGGAGTCAATGATTCACAGATGCAGTCGTCCAACGCATATACTTCATTAGTTATGTATGCACACGTGTGATTCAGGTCTCAGTTAAGAACACAGGAAGAGCCCCAGTGTATCAGGCCATTGGCTCATCTAGTCTAGCATCCTGTTCTCCCAATGACCAACCAGATGCCTCTGGGAAAATCATCACATCCAAGTCAGCAAATGTCGTCACATCTTATTGTAAAGTTAAGGTAAAGGGACCTCTGACCATTAGGTCCAGTTGTGACCGACTCTGGGGTTGCGGCGCTCATCTTGCTTTATTGGCCGAGGGAGCTGGCGTACAGCTTCTGGGTCATGTGGCCAGCATGACTAAGCTGCTTCTGGCGAACCAAAGCAGCGCACGGAAATGCCGTTTACCTTCCCGCCGTATTGTAGCAACTCCCAAAGTTTAACTCGTGGTGTGTGAAGTATTGCTTCATTTGTCTACCCTAAATCTCACAACATTCAGTGTCACTAGATGGCCCTTGGTTCTAGGAGAAAACCTTCCCTGTCCACTTTCTTAATCACCATGCATCATTTTAAACAACTCTATCATTTCTCTCCCCACACCCTTCCTTACTCGCCTTTTTTTCTAAACTAAAAACCCTCAAATATAACCTTTCCTCACAGAGGGAGGTGCTCTTTTGAGTTCTTCTTCTCTGCACTTTCCTCCCAGGATATTTACATTTCATTCCTTCTGAATTGACTAAGTTTAAATCCAAATTTTATGTTTTGTTCCAAAAAAGGTAAAATAATAATAATAATAAAAAACCCAAATTAATTGCAGATTTACAATACCAAATTGGTCATGTTTTCAACAACAAAAAAGAAAAAAAGAGCAAGTTCTCTTGGAAGAAAAAAATTCCATTTCAGCCTCTTTAATTTTGCAGGAGGATTCTGGCAAAGAGAGGTCTATATTTATCCTCAGCATCTTGAGAGCATCACCGAGGCTTAGATAAAAAGAAGGCAATGTGGAGAAGATGAAACGGTAGAGGGAGATTGAAATATCTTCCGATCGCCACTTACCTGTGTCGAGTGCACTTGAACCAGTTCAGGATATCCGTGCATCTCGTGTAATAGATCTGATCAAAGGGATGTGAGTACGATTCCTGAACTGTCACGGCATAGCTGGAAGCAGACAATGAAAGGGGGAGAAAAGGTGGGTCATTAGCCTGTAAAAGCTCCCCCTGCCCCTCTCTCTCGCTCATATATTGAAGCTCCTGCTCTCTGCAACATGTGAAGGTTAGAAGTCACGGCAAATCACTCTGGCCCTCCAAGGTCTCCCAAAGACCCAGCATGTATTTGTTTGGAATATTTATCCTTTTTTTATTTGCAAAAACAGGAACAGAGAGCATACTTAACCCAGTTCCCCACACTTACAACTTCTTACCAAATACAGCATGTTTATATACCATATATGACTTTCCTTCCACCCTTTTCCTGCTTCCTTTGCTTTTCTACTACTCTGCGTAATCCACATCTTTTTAATCATCCAATTTGTTATCTGTTAAAAACCTCTTTCTCTTTCAACTCTGCTTGATATACTCGAGACCTGCTAGGCTATGTATTTGTTCATACTGGCTCTTGAAATATTCAATAAACATGATCCGTTCCTCCTTGCATTCCTTATCTCCATTTTCTCTTATACTTGTTCGTCAGACCAGCCAGTTCAACATGTTCAAACATTTTACACTGCCATTCTTCCTTAGTGGGTACTATACTTGTTCTCCACCTTTGTGCCAATAAGGTTCTAGCTGCAGCAGTGGCATATAGCAGGGATGTCCAACAGGTCGATTGTGATCTACTGAGGTTGTTGTTGTTGTTAATGTATTTTTATTAAAGATTTTCTTGGTTTACAAAAGTATGTGCAATCTCTCTCTCTCTTTTTCCCCAAGTAGATCAGTTTGCAGATCAGTTTCACTTGTTGAGACATTAGGAAGAAAAGGGGGAAAGAGGTGGAGGGGGAGAGGTGGTTTTGGTAGATTGCAGCCTGCATCAGAAGAGGACTTCCCCAAATCAAATCCCGAATGACCTACTTTAATTGTTTTAGGTTCTTCGAGGCACCAAACAATGGTCAACCACCCGCACAGGTAAGGCTGTCCAGGGTTTTTAAAAAGTTGATACTGAGCTAATTGGTCCAATAACAGATGAAAGCTAGATAGATGCTCACATTGGCCAAAGCTTTTTCAGATCAAGAAATAAGTGAAACATTATGTCATGGACTGGCTGGATGCACAGGAGTGGTAGGAGACACCAGCTGGGGAACTCCCAAGGGAACAGCTGGGGAAAGACAGCTCAGAGCCAGGGGACTGGTGGTCAGACAATGAAGAGTGGTAAGAGGGAGAAGACTGGGAGGAGGAAGCTGAAGAGGAAACAGGGTTTAGTGACCAGGAAGAGGCTGCAGCAGAGAGCAGTCCAGAATCAGAGGCAGAAACGGAGGCTTGGAGAGGAGGGAGGCCAGGAGATTGAAATGTGGTCGGCTACTGAAGAAGCCAGGGGGTCTCCCGCTCCTCCTGCGACAAGCCCTTCTCCTTTCTGGTCTTCCAGAACATGCAGAGAAATGAAGTGGGCAGAGCAAATAGAGACAAGATGAAGAAGCCGTAGGCTGATGGGGAAGGAGCAGGGGGAGGAGCCTTAGGGAGTGGTGGGAAAGCAGAGACCTTCAGTCTTCGCAACTGCCTCATTGGGACAAGACCTCCTGGGAAGTGTTACTGTGATCACCAGCCCTGGGCTGTTTTGGTTCCTTTGAAAAAGAATTAACTTCACTGACACCAGGTGTATTATTGCTGACCTGCCCCCGACTCTGGCTCCTGATGCATTAATTCTCTTATTAGCTTCAGTAGATTGTTAGAAAGGCCATCTTTAAAGATTTAAAGAAATCACTCAATTTTTAAGTACGAAGGACCCTGGTGGGCTGTTAGCACCAGTTCAAAAAACATTTTTTTGCAACCATGCCTTCAGTCACCTTGCTTTTGGTGAAGTTTGGCATGCCGGCCCCACTGGATCAATGTGTTTTATTTGTATTAACATAACTTATTGTTATTATGTTTGTTATATTGTACGCTACTCAGGTATTATTTCTTAATGAATAATGAATAATAAATGAATAATAATGAATAATAAATAATAAATAATAAATAAATACTGAGACATCAGAACCAAAGCAGCAGCCCCCACCCCACCAAAAACAATGTGTGTCCTTAATTTGCAGGCCTGCAGGCTGAAACTGGCCACCATCCAGTTAAACCAGTATTCATTTCTGGGCTTACTGATGGCTACAAGCTGTGGAAGTGGGGGCTGTGTTGGGGGAGACATCAGGTTCCAAGTATGGACAAGTCACAAACTGCCCTCACGATGTGGAACACTGAAAGAACAGGCAAGTGATTTTCAAAGCTTTGTCTCTGACACGGAGCTTCTGAACCAAGAAAAAAGGAAATCTTGTAAAGAGCAATGGAAAAATGTAAACTGATTGAAGCTTGCCACCATTAATAAAAAAGAAAGAACGAGGGATCGGGGGGGGAGTTCTATGCCCTCACATAAAACCATATCAGATATTCTTCCTCCTGGGACTGTTCAGCTTTTACTTGTGTACAAAAAAGGCTAATTAAAAGCACATATTAACATAATGCTGTCGAGGCTTCCCGGCACTTCATTCTGATGATGAAGGCACAAGCACCGCAAAATGATGGGCACACCAATCAAACACAAGGCTTTTTTATATTAGAAACAGGAAAGAGGTCTCTGGGGCTTGATTTTTCACTTTTGCTCATTTTAAACAGAACCTATTTTAATCCAAGATAATTTGTAGCAGAAATTAACCAGTAATTGAGAACCATAAATTGTGAGTTAAGCAGCGGGTTCTCTGTTTGTTTGTTTATTCCCTGAAAAACTTTAGCATTGCGTCAACCTATAAAATGGGAGGGGTAGCCAATGCCACAGAAGACAAAATCGGGATTCAGTATGATCTTAACAGGCTGGAGAACTAGGCCAAAAATAACAAAATGACTTTCAATAGGGACAAATGTAAGGGTCTACACTTAGGCAGGAAGAACCAGTTGCACAAATATGAGATGGGAGACACCTGGATTGCCAGTAGTACATATGAAAAGGATCTAGGAATCTTAGTAGACTATAAGCTTAACATGAGGTAACAGTGTGATGCAGCAGCAAAAAAAATCTAATGCTATTCTAGGCTGCATCAACAGAAGTATAGCGTCCTGACAAAAGGAAGTAATAGTCCTGCTCTGTTCTGCCTTGCTTACACCACACCTGGAATACTGTGTCCAAATCTGGGCGCCACCATTTTAAAAGGATATTGACAAGCTGGAGTATGTGCAGAGGAGGGCGACCGAGATGATCGAAGGTCTGGAAACCAAGCCTTATGAGGAACGGATGAGGTTGGGTGGCCATGTGTCATGGATGCTTTAGTTGAGATTCCTGCATTGCAGGGGGTTGAACTAGATGACCCTTGGGATCCCTTCAAACTCTACAATTCTAATACAATTCTATTAGTCTAACCTAAGCCCATTGCATGTGGGTTCCGCAAGCACTCAATCACGGGTCTACTCCATCCTGGGTTTTGAAAGAACGTGCAAGAAACCTGCCTATAAGTTGTACACATTTTCCTATACACTTTGGCCACAAAATGCACATTTTTTTTCAAAGCTTTCCAAATCTTTTCAATACAGCTCCTCCCTAAAACATGCATTTCCAAGCAAAATTTGCATTTTTGTTCACACTTTTTTCACCAATAGCCTTACACGGCAGCTTCCTTTACAGGCTTTCCTTAGTTTAAAGGGTTGTTGTAAGGATGTAAAACACTGGAGATTTTTTTTAAAAAACAACAACCCATATTTAGTAAATCCTATTACTAATTATTAATACAGTGTCTTGCTTTATAAAACAGCAGCCTTTGTGGGGGTTAAGCACACTGTATCGAGACAGAGTAGGTTTAGAGATCACCTTCAATGCCTGTCAGTCTGTTTCTATTGATTGCTCTGCTGTCTTGGTTCAAAAGTATTACCTTCAGGGAACTGAAACTCACTTGGTTAAGAGGATTGATATGAGCTCTGCAACATGGGGGTCCTAAATGAAGACAATCCAAGGGTTAACGCTTAGTCCGAACCTGCCATTTGCCTGAGAGCAGAATCTCTTTGGATTCAGAGGCCTTAGCGTGAGAGCCAACACCAGAAATGATTGTGGCCACATTTTAAGCAGGGACAAATCTGTCAATTTCAGTTTTCTCATTTTCCCATTCTTAAGTTCAGTTCTCCACATTTCCACATTTTTTTTGGAAGTCCTCAAGAAAATCCGTCAGTGTTTTAGTGAGAATTTCTTCTGATATATACCATTTTTGGCAAGGACTATCTCCCAATACAATGCATTTTTTTTACTAATATATGCATAGTTTCGCCCTGGGCTTTTTCCCCCCAGCCAGAACTCATCAGAGCTCAGCTCCAGCACCTCTCAGGTGGGTTCCATTGCCATTCTAAGAGAACAAGGTTCATGGTGAGCTCCAGCACCATTTTTCTAGAAAAATAGCCCTGGGTTCCCCCAATATACACATTTTAATATACCTTATTTGGTTGGAGAATGGCAGTGCAAAGTTCAGAGAAATGCAAATGCCAAAGGGTAAGTACATTGGTTCGCACATTGTTTCAGGAAGTTAGACAGTTTCATGCCAAAATGTATTTCTCCCCTACTGGAAAACCTGTGTGTGTGCAGGAGTATACCCTACAGTGCTGTGGGCACAGGGCTTTAAGCATCTGGTTTTGTCAGCCAACAAAATGTCAGCCCTAAGAGCTGACCTCTCTTTTGTCTGCGCGGGGCAATGAGATATCCTGCTGGCAAATATGCCAAAGCAGAAGGTATTTAGACTACTCTTTTATTAACATAAACCCCCTCGTCATCTTGATTATTATTTTATGATCCTGTTTGCTCCTCTTGACCTCACCCTAACTCAATCTCTTTGGGCTGATTTATTACCATCTAAGTATCACAGTCATCTTGGCCGGGGCAGCCAATCAATTCTGGTATTTAATTTTTGTTTCTCCTTGATTGGGTCTCTGGGTTGCTGACTCCCTTCACACAAAATCAATACTGTATTCCTGGGCTTGAAATGTACTTTTCTGTGCAACTGCAAACAATACCAAATCACAGGCTCCATCTCCACCCACGTTTGCCCTCAAAGCCTGTTGTGCTGCGTGATCAACATCCTTAAAAATAAAATAAAAAATGCGCGCACACAACACCTTAATAAATCTAAGCATAATGAACTTCAGAATGCCACTAAGAGCTGTTTATGTTACTTAAAGAAGATTCATATTCATTATAGCATAAGGTGAAACACATTCTAAAGAGCCTGTTCTTGGATAAAACAAGCAAGACTGTGCTTAGCTTAAGAGCTTTACGGCAGAAAAGTGGGACCTACGTAGGAGGTTGCTTTATACAGAGTCAGACAAATGACCCATCTGGCTTGTTGTTGTCTACACTGACTGGCAGCAGCTATCCATGGTTTCAGGCAGAGGTCAATTCCCAGCTCTACCTGGAAAAGCTAGGCACTGAAACTGGGACTTTCACGCAAAGCCCTTCTCAAAGCAGAAATTCCAAAGATGACAAATCACAGTCAGATAGTTTGCCCTACAACATCTAAAGGTTACCCAGGTTTGGTTGAAGAAAGGGAGATGGATGCCTCATATTCCTGCCCCTTTGGAAGTTATGACCACATGAGCAGCAACCTCAGCTTAACAAGTCAGTAATGTCTGGCACAAGTCATTTCGGGTATTCCGAAATTTTACCTCTTTGTCATGACTGGAACACTTATGAAGCCGGTCTATAGGAGGATAGTTGAAGTCACCCACCATGATAACAGTTCCTTGACTACATTCCTTGACTGCATTCCTCATATCAAGATCTCCATGAGCATTTTGACCAGGGGGACAATAGGACAACCGCAACAGGGGAAATGAGACTCCTCTGAAGGCAGGTAATGCACACTCAAGAGAGAATTCAAAGTAAACCCTTCCAGGCATGCCTCCAATCTTGAAGCACTGTTCATAAGAGGACACTCTTCTACAATGGAAGATCTGCTCAAAAGGTCCTCCTCAAAAATGAGGTGGATTGTGACTGAGAAGGGGGTCCTCAACTGTGGGTCTGTGGAATTCTCTGCCCAAGGAAGGCTCAGTGTCTCTTGACAGCATTTTTATTCCAGTTTTGCATCGAACTATGTTGAGAACTGCTTTATAAATGAAGTGGTATACAGAGGTTTTTAAATCTGCGAGGGAGCAACATTTTACCTTTCCCAATGGCTGCAAACATTTGGGTCATCTGGATTTAAGGAGATGGTGGTTTTCAGAAGGAGAGACAGGGCGAGGACTTTGAGATTCCACCACAGGAGGAGGCAGAACATCATCGCTGCTTCTAAGCAAAGGAGAGAAAAGCATTAAGACAAACAATTGCTTCCTAGTATCATAATTAACGAGTTATAGATTCTGGTACATTTTATGCCAGTCTGGTGTAGTGGTTAGAGTGTTGGAGTTGGACCTGGGAGACCTTGGGCCAGTCGCCATCTCTCAGCCTAAAAGATGTGCTACCCATCACATCAGGAATCAAAGCTTTAAACAAAAGAAAAGAGAAAACTGAAGGCCAAAGCATCTGTTGGCATTAATTTTCTCCATTAGCAATGTGTTCTTGCCGCAATTCCTATGCTCATTTTAAAAAAAAAAAAAGATTAATTTTTTAAAAAAGATTTCCTTAAAGTAAACCACTGAGGCATTATAATAGTTTACTTCTACACTCACCCAAGTCAGAAACCAGCTCTTGTTAATTTGAACGGAGTTTGCAAGTGTCAAGCACAAGGCTGCCAAATCTGCCTCCAAAACATGGCTACTACAGATTATGATTGATTGACAGAAAATCAATTGAATTTTCAGGTCTTATTACGGAGTTCGGAGAAGAAATCCATTTGCTTTTGAGGCACCATTTTAGAAAGTTCTCGTTCGACCTAAAGCTTTAAGGGCTATGATATACCTGAGAGATAGACTTCAGCTCCCTGCCATTGCAATTAATGATGGCTGAATCTGCCAGTTACAAGTTGCCCTCCATTTCTCATTTCCCCCTATGTTTAGTTTGTTACATTTCCCCCATTAGCTTGCAATTAAAAAATATAATACTATTTTTTCCTCCTATTATACACATTTTTGTATGCAGTTTTCCCTTATGCAAGTTAAAGTTATATTCACATATATACATGCACTTTATGAACACTTTCCCCCGATATACACATTGTTGGTTGAAGAACTACACTGCAAAATTTCAGAGAAATGCAAATTTTGAACGATGGTGTGGTGCTTGGGGTATTTTTTTTTTAAAGTGTGAATTAGGCAGGTTCATATCAAAACAAGAACTGGGTTTCTCCCTTTTCTGCAATCATTCACTCCCTGGGACCTCGATAATGTTCTACATTCACAAAAACAAATGCCAAACGGCATGGTTGATGGTGGCCCCCAGGGATAGTTTCCCTCCTTCTGGATGACAAACCAGAGTCAGAGCCTCACAGGTTTTTGCAGGGGATGTATGCAACCCTTTAGGGTCCTTACACATCTTTGGTGTTTAGAATGCAATGTGGCAGGACCATCCTTAGAGCAATTCCCCTATGAGGAAAGACTGTAGCACTTGGGAATTTTTAGTGCAGAGAAAAAGCGAGGAACAGGTGATATGGCAGAGGTCTATAAAATTATGTGTGGCATGGAGAAAGCGGATAGGGAAGGAATTGAGATTGTCTATATTTATTAGTAGCTTGCATTAAGAGTTTTGCTGCACATTTTTGTAACATCTGTTGTTGTTTTACTTTTGTATACGCTGCTTAGAATTTGGGCTTGCCGATCAGAAGGCTGGCGGTTCAAATCCGCACAACGGGGTGAGTTCCTGTGGCTCTGTCCCAGCTCCTGCCTACCTAGCAGTTTGAAAGCACACCAGTGCAAGTAGATAAATAGGTGGCAGAAAAGTAAACGGCATTTCTGTGTGCTCTGGTTTCCATCACGGTGTTCTGTTGCACCACAAGTGGTTTAGTCATGCTGGCCACATGACCCGGAAAGCTGTCTGTGGACAAACGCCAGCTCCCTTAGCCTGAAAGCGAGATGAGCGCCGCAACCCCATAGTTGCCTTTGACTGAACTTAAACGTCCAGGGGTCCTTTACCTTTTTTTTTTAAACCTTTTATAGAAAAAGTCTAAATAAATAAATATGTTCACCATAGAAAAGCATTGTATTACTTCAACAAGCCTTCCACAGCTTGCCACCCTCCAGATGTCTTAGCCTACAACGCCAATCAGCCAAAGCTAACATAATGTTGAGGTTGATGCAAGTTGGAGTCCAAAACATTTGCAGGGCACCAGGTCAACAAAGGCAGCTGGAGGAGCTAGCCAAAAAATGCACCAAACTTATGTTTTGATGCCAGATACCAACTCAGCAAATGCATAAATGGCACCAAGAAATAACTAAAATAATTAAAACACCTATTCATGCTTCCCCTCAGTTTTCTTTGTTGAACATGTGGACTGACCAAAGGCCTTTTATTTATTTTTACCAAAGATCTTTTTACATGGATGCTGGTAGCTGCCAGGATTTCCATAGTGCAACGTTAGTGGAAACACTACATAATTTGAATATTTCCTTATGGACTCCTGCCACTGCAGGAAAAATAACACATAACTACTGTACATGCTTCCAAGGGCAAAGAGGGCCCTGAACATTTCAATTCTGTCTGGTGGGATTTTATTTCTTCTGTTTCAGATATGGATATGCAACAATCACTCCCAGAGTGATGTCAAGAAACATGGTTGTCTCGAGTTAATGTCAAGTGTTCCTCATGCTTATAACGGTATAGGAGCTGCCTTGTTTGGGATATGCTAAGTTGATCAGATATGAAATATTATTAAAATCAATAACAAAGTAAGGCAAAAATGACCAAGTCTCTCTTTGTCGAGACACTTCAGAAAGCTAAAATCCAGAGCAGCTGCCATTTCACGCACAAAGCACTTTGTAGCAAGAAGAGGCATGAGCAATAAAATAAAATAAAATCAATCCTAAGGGAGGGAGGAAAGGAGGGTAACTTAGCAGAAATGTTAAGATGAACACTAAGATTAGTGGGTTAGTGGAAAGAAGGTATTTTCATCCCGTTATAGTGAAACTGGCAATGAATGGCTTGGTGTCAATGAGAAAGCTGAGGTAATAAAGTTAAAAGAGAGAGAAAGGAGGCCTAACCATTTGGAAGTGATGTGATGGATAATGGGAACACACAACCCAATCAGCTATAATTAACAAAAACACATCATGTTGTGAATTTTTTTCCTCAGAACAAGATTTTTCTCTCAGGCACTGCTTCACTCTGGCCTATCCTTTGGCCCAGTTTTGACCTGAAGTGGTCAACCTCTTGTCAGGCTGTTGTCACTTCAGATGGCGGGCTGCGGTTAAAAAGACTTCATGCAAAAAGATTCATTGGATATAGAAAATTAGTATGTCAGGATTTTCCTTGGGCCTCAGCCTAGCCACCTTCCTAAGGTTTACCACCTCAGTGAAAACAAGGCCTTGTTTTCTCCTGCATCACGGCCGAAATCTGATTGTGCCTTAGTTGTTTCACTTTATTTATTGAAAGTTTTTTTTTTTGGGGGGGGGGGTAATTTACATTGGAAAAAACCCAGTCCCTGCTATTGGACTTAAAATCTAAAAGACATGACACAAAAGGGAAAGGATTCACAGAGAAGGGGACTTCCGGGTTGGCGCCATCAATTAATGGCGGACTCCCTCCGAGCTCCGGAGGGAATCGGCTCTGCAGAGCTGGGTCTTGCCGCCGCGGCGACGCGGGGACCCTTAAAATCACAGGCGCAGAAGCCTGTGAGCATAGTGACTCGGCGGGCACCATTTGCGCCCCCCCCAATCCGTGAAGGAGCCTTTTTAAAGGCTTCGGAACGGGGACGGGGTGCGGCGCGGTGCTGAGAGTACTTCTTCATCTGCAGAGTGAAGCCGCAAGCCATTATCGGAGAGCGCTGACTTTTTCCTTGGAACATTCGGACTTTAAAACATCAACCCGTGAGTAATACGGAAATTGGAATTTTAAAGAAAAATTTGCTGGATCAGGAATGAGCGGGGAAGGGTTAAAAAGGAAGTCCACCCCCCCCTTTGTAAACAATTTAAAGCAAAGGACCTGCTAGCTAAGGTCGAGAGAATCTTTTCTTTTCTTTTTAGTAAAAGATTTCAATTTCACGGTTTTGACATCATAAGAATTTTTGCTGGAGGATAATAAGATTAATTTTGGGAGTTGAAGTTTCACCCCCCCCCCACGGACCCGGGAGTGTCCCATGAGAGAGCCTGTTGATGAAAGATTGGAAAGTCTGACAGCTGTCAAGTTAGCTGTCAAGACGGAAAAAGAGAACTTTGTTTTTGTGGCTTCTGCTGGTTGATTTGTAACAATCTGTTGAAAATAAGGAAGGGCTGATACAAAATAACCTGACTTTTGGACTTGAGCTGAAAGGAATATTAAGGAACTAAAATCCCCCTAGAGGGGTTTAGTGACATTACAGGAATGGCTGGAGGAAGGAAAATCCAGGCTGAACTGGACAGAGTATTTGTTCTCTTGGGAAAGTTACAAGGTCAATCCGATGTTTTGGCTACAAATGTTACAACTCTGGACTTAGCAGTAAAGAGCATTGTTGAACCTGATAAGGATTTGAAACAGGAAGCCTATTCAACTGATCAAATAGAGAAAACGGAGAGCTGTGACAATATGGAGCAGGTGACATATGTTGCTGCTGAAGAAAAGGAAGGAGGAGCTGAAACTTCGCAGAAGTTAAAGGAGAGTTACAATTTGAGGCCTGACATGATGACAAAAAAGGAAAATAAAAATCTGATGTGGATAGCCTGGCCTGAATTGGAGGTGGAAGCTGGAGCTTGGGGGACATTTGGACCTGAAAGGAGTATAAAACAAGATTTGAAGTACCCCATAGGCTTTCCTTTTAAATATGGAGGTATGGCTGGTAGAAATATGGATCCTGTTGGGCCGGAGCTTCTTCGAGATTTGGAGTTTAACATCAAGGACTATCAAAAAGACCGGCAGAGAGGAACTGAGAGAGAATTGAGAGCCTCGGACGTGAGATCTCCAGGCTAAACAGTATATTGAGACTGATGGGGGTTTTTTTGAGGACTGAAGCCGGGAAAAGGGTGGGTGGAGTTTGGGAATCCAAAGGGTATATAAACATAGTTTGCTTTGCTTTTATTTTGTTTTGTTATTAGTATGGAAATTGGGAAAGTCGTGGAAGGGAAATTTAGGTCAACTTTAGGAAAAAGTGTTTAAGTTAAAATAATGAGGTATAAATATTGATGTGTAAATTTGGATAAGTTAAAATTGGTTTTTAAAATGGTCTAAATTAAATGAAAATAAGGTTGGTAAATATAAATTGAGGAAATGGAAGAAAGAAGGAAAGTAAAATAATAACATGTTAGAATAAATTAAATTAAGTTAAAATGGAGAAGTAAGTTAAGGATTTGCTGAGCTAATAATTTAAATTGGAATACAAGAAGGGGAGGTGTGAGGAGGTCTGAGAAACAAGTTAAAAGAAAATAAGTATTTGAACTTTTAGGTGTTTTTAATTGTTTTTAAGTTTTGGATCTTTGTATTTTTTTTGTTTATTTTTGTTTTTGTATTTATATTTTTTTTGTTCTTTCTTTTTTTTGAAAATGCTAATAAATATTCATTTTTTTTTAAAAAAAGGATTCACAGAGAAGGGTAACAATAAACAGCGAACTCAAGTGCTAGTTCATTGTTATAATGTTATTGTAATGACCACCTGAAATGGAAAGATTGGCCACCTGTCAAATATGTCCAAAGTGAGCTCTATTTATGTTGTTTAACTGAAACAAAACAAAAAGCAAACTAAAAGTTGAATTTGCAAGTTTTTAACAGTCTCACCTCAGTGTGCTGTAAATCCCTTGTGGCTATGAATCCATCAAGTATTCAGAGTTCATTGGCAAGAGAAAGAACCACTCTGCAGGCTTTTCAGACGTCCTTCAGAAACTGCAGAGAGAGAAATACACAGCTGAACAAAGGGAAGGAGAAGAAGTGAATTAAAAAACAGATGTAGATAGGTGTCTTGACGGAGGAAATCCCTACTTGCAAATATTTGCTCAAGTAATGCCAGAATGAAATTGTGCTGGATGTACCAGCGGCCAGATGACCAAAATGAGGTTTTTTCAAATGCAAAAGCTAATCAGCATTTCCTATCACATTCAGGTTAAATATTTAAAAAGTGGGGGAGTAAGGAATGGGGAATAAAGCTAGGAACCAATAAAGTTGTGGCCTTTTCTTGCCCATTAACCATATATCACGTGTCCTTGTGTCTTCATTTCACTACGCGGGAGTCGGATCCTCGAACCACAACATGTCATTAATGTAATACTGCATTAGTGATGGGTTTATACTGGACTGTCCACACATCATTCTGTTTTATTAGATGTTTTGCCATGCTTTCCCAGTGCTATTACATTACTGCTGTCTGAAGGGACACTTGTGGGCTGCTGCACAACAAAAGCAGAACAAAAAATCAACCAGAACATTTTGTGGTATAAGAAGTTAGAAGATTTCAGCAAGAAATTACGGGACATGCAGCAAATGGAAATGAAGCAGTATGTCTGCCTCAGAACTTTTGCAGGCATAAACAGTGTTGAAATTGAAATAGTGTAGGAACTTCCCAGTACCATCACAAGCACAAATCATCATGAATGCATACTGAAAGAGACATCTGGAAGAGCTCTATATAGACTGAAGAGTGACTTTAAGGTTCAGGTTGAAAGAAGTAATGGTGAGCCACTTTCCCAGTTATTTATTTATTTATTTAAAACCTTTTAAACCAACTTTCCACACAGAACTATGATATATTAGTTATTGTAGAATGGAGAAGGGGGACTATACGCATAAAGCAAAGAACTGACTGTTTGGGGATCTTTGTAGCCCATCCAAGGACTACAGGATAGCATAGAGGAGTTCCCAGTCCCCACATTCTGTTCTCATTTCAATCCCTTAAGAGATGGGTTAGACTTAACCACATGGCTCTCTTTGAAAATCAACCAGTAACTTTCTAGCCTCCTAGGCCTTTGGCTAATTAAATAATAAATGGCCTTTTAAACTGCGGGGCAGTATTGGTTTTGTTTGTTACTATGTTATGCATTTTAGTTTTTTATTTTGTAAACTGCTCTGTAATCCTCAGATGAAGGGCGGTATAGAAAGTTAATACATAGTGTGTATTTCTATGCAATTTGTATGCAATTTCCCCTAATATGCAAAGGTTTTCAAATCCATTTTGCCCAGCACATAACACATTTTTGTATGTTATCTTCACTAATATATACATTCATATGAACACTTTACCCCCAGTCTATGCATTTTTGTACTTGGCTAGAGAACTGCACTGCAAAATTTGGAGATGTGTGAATTTCAGAAGACGGCTGCGTTTTGGTTCGTGCGTTGTTTCAGAAGGCACAAATTAGGCGATTTGTCTTTAAATGTGAACTGAGTTAAATTTCTCCCTTGTCACATCATGTGTCAGGGCTGCTCTCTTGCATGTCCCAACAATAACTCAACTGCACAACAATATCTGGTTAGTCCTTTCCCTTGTGCAATATTCCACCAGCACAACCCATACGCTGCTAAGTGACTTTAACTTAGAGCTCATCCATACCTCTATTTGTCCCGTGCCTGGACATCACAGATCTGAGCAGTTTTGTCTTTGCCCTACTGCCTTCCCTTGGAAAACCTTCTCTTTGGCAATAAATCAGAACAAATGGCAATCCTTAGAAAACCTATATGCTGTTTGCTCCGATTCAGTGCTAAACCATTGGTTTTCCTGGGGGGGAGCAGAGGAGCAAACAAAGTATGGACAAGCCCTTAGTTTCATTGGGTTGTATCCAATGTAGTACAGTATACTAAGAAATCTGGAAGCTAAAGAACAGGGAATACACATGATAAATAAATATTTAAATAAATATTTAAAAGTAGTTACTTGTTTTAAAGCCACAGGTAGGCAAGAAAAGCAAGTGAATTAAAACCCAACTTTTGGCTGCTGATCCACAGCAGTCCCTGCGTTCAGATGCTTGCATGATTCAGTAGGAGATGCATATTTCTACTTATCCCAAAAATGTCAAAGGATACTGGGGGAATATGTAAGTCTGGAGGGTGTGCGAGTAGACACTGCATTAAAGAAGTACAAATTAATATTTTTCTTCCCTGACTTTTAATGCTAATGAATTCATTCAACTCTTCAAGAGGAACTCCCAAGATCGTAATTTAAATCAGATCAAGATTTCTGGACATTAAGCACTAAATTCCCAAAGACATTTTATGGAAATGGATCAGGAATGTGAGATTCTTTCGGATGGAGTGGGAGACATAATCCTCCTCCTTGCCCAATTTCAAAGAAATTGCTGCTGGAGAAACAGAGTACAGGTGCACCGAGTTGTCCGTGGAGGAAAGAATACATTAAAACCAAACTTAAGCTCAAAGACTAATGACCAAGAAAACCACAGAGTTGTGCAAGAGAGTCTTAAATACTCATCCTCTCTCAAGGTTTCTGTATATGAGATAATGAACCGCCGAATCACAGCATAGCTTACTGCTCACTAATGACCTCTTTCCTCAACCAGAGGCTGGGAGGGTTTCCTACAGCAACCGAGGGCTGTCTTTGAACTTTCACTTTAACCCCATTTACTCAAAACAACATTATTGTGAACTGGCTCTCTTCAAAAGGGAGACAAGCTGGATTCTGTTATTATGAGACTCCTAAGATGAGTGAGTCGTGATTAGAAGCATCAAAACCAATCAAAACAAACAAGTGGGAGCACACATATTTTGCACGTATATTGTTTGATCAAAATTTTTTATACGAGCGCTAAATAGGGGGGATTATTTTTTTTTTTTTTTTAAATGAACGTGCTGAGAAAACCAGAAGTGCTTGATGCTGGAAAAATTATTCTGCAGGGGTAGCATGGGAAAGGAGATGGAAGCAGACCGTCCCCAATGACACTCACGGAAAAGCACACAGAAGTCAGTCCAGGAACTATTTCAAGACCAGTTCAGAAGAGGGACAACTTTTTCTTCGGGTTTGTTGCGGATTGAAATTTGTCACAATTCAGCAGGCTTTCCCATGGAAAGCAGAGCAACAACAAAAAACCCACCTTTCTCAGACCCATGATAACAGAGCGATACAAAATACTAGAAATCACAGGACAAACGAAAGTGTGGATGGGCCAAACGTGGGCATTTTTGCACCTACTTTTAAGTCTGTGGGATAAGTTATAATACTATTTAAATGGTGGACCACATTCCCTCCTGTGCAACCTTCTACGGGCCACATGCTATCAGCAGGTGGGACCAGCAGCAGACATGGGCTTAGCAATTAATGCTAATTTTACCTTTTACAGTAGGGTTGTTTACACACACACACACACACACACACACACACACACACCCCTAGGCAAGCAGGAAGCATTATCAGAGTTCAAGGACACATTCCAGCCAAGCACAAGCACTCAAGGAGGGTGCAAAGCAGGGCTGATGAGGGGCATGCCATGGGGAGCAGGTGGTGTGGCCAGAGAGGTATGGCCTAGGGAGAGTCCTGAGGGCCTGTCAGGAGTCCAGGTTCCCAGCTTGATAAAACAGTAAGCGTAGGTAATTAAAAAGGACGATTTATTGCAAAAACAAACAGATAGCTCCGGACAGCTCTAACAAAGCCTCCGGCATCATTACTCAAGATGACCCTTCTGAAGATTCCTTCCAGTGTCTACAGAATATATTTATTGAACCAACGTCCCTTGCATCTCTTGTTTTGCTTCCTATCTAGAAGCCCTCCCATTCACTGACTCCTCGCCTCTTCCTTTTCTGACGAACTCCAGCCTCTTCCTTTTCTGACGAACTGTCTCCTTGTCTATTCACACCTATTTGAGCTTGCGGTGAGCTTTGGCTGTGTTCTAGCCTGCTCTCAGCTACTGTCCTATCAGCCCGCCCGTCAAGGTCAGGAAGAGCCAAATTCTGCAGCTGCCGGCTCTCCCCTGCCTAACATCAAAGCCTCCCTGTTCCTGGCTGCTTTCTGCATTTGGCTGCAAACCTTCGCTCGGAGCTGGCTCATTCCTGACAGGGCTAGACACAGAGTCCTGGAAGGCCTGAGGGTCCCTATACCTGATTAGGCAAGCCACTGATGAAAGCTCCGGTGTTGAACTGGCTCGAGTTGTTACCTCTGGATCACACTGAAGCTTTTGAATTTTGACATTCATTGTCAACACCTTATGGCGGTCTCCCCTTTCCAAGAACCAGCCTTTAATTTTCATAAGCTACTCCAGGGATGCAATGACAAATAGAAACACAACTGGATCCGACACCTATTGCAATTTAATTTTGCATAATTTCACTCATCTTTCATCTCCGGTAACGTCTAACTCATTTATTATCCATTGTTTCTCCCAAAGGCGGGGCTTCTTTCCAGGAAATTATTAGCAAAAGCACCTAGTTTTCCAGTAACAGGGCAGGGTGACAACAATCCATCAGAAAAATTGGTGGGCAAGTTCCTTTGAATTAATATGTCAAAAACATCAAGAAGCAGTCAGAGGAGTGAGAGACGCAGACTGACCTAAACCATTCCCAGTGAATGCTGAACCCTGAGCCTTTGTTTTGCAGCTGGATCACTGAGATCATCCAGAGGAGTGCTGTTACTTGTACCCCATGTTACAGAGGTCCTACTAAAAGGTAAAGGTACCCCTGCCCATACGGGCCAGTCTTGACAGACTCTAGGGTTGTGCGCCCATCTCACTCTATAGGCCGGGGGCCAGCGCTGTCCGGAGACACTTCCGGGTCACGTGGCCAGCGTGACATCGCTGCTCTGGCGAGCCAGAGCCGCACACGGAAACGCCGTTTACCTTCCCGCCAGTAAGCGGTCCCTATTTATCTACTTGCACCCAGGGGTGCTTTCGAACTGCTAGGTTGGCAGGCACTGGGACCGAATGACGGGAGCACACCCCGCCGCGGGGATT